TTGAGCACTGTTTTTTAAAAATAAAAACAAAAATACGAAAGAACTTTGGATTATTAACGTAACGATTCTTTCCTATTTTTCAATATATTTGCACACACACACACACATATATATATATATATATAGCGAGAGAGAGACTAAGGTCAACATCAACACGAAGCAATCTGCAATCTTCAGACTTAAAGATTGCACTGAGCATGAAACACGCTTTGTCGATTGGTGTTGACCTCGGTATCCACTTTTATATTTACGTCTGCTCTATTTCTGATATTGAGCACTCTTACCTATAAATATGGCATACCTTAAAACTATATTTTTATTACATATATATATATATATATATATATATAGAGAGAGAGAGAGAGAGAGAGAGAGAGAGAGATCTAATCAAAGAAAAAATAAGAGTAAAAGATTTTAAATGAGGAGGAGGAGGAAGAGATGATGAGATTAGAGAGAAGTAAACATCGAAGGGGCGGGGAGGGGGTAAAGAGAAAAGAGTTGACAGAAAGAGAGAGATGAGCAAAGAAATGTAAAGGGAGCAGGAGGAGATGTAAGAGGAGGAGAGACTTGCAAAATCAAAAGAAAACAAACAAATAAATATATATATGTAGGGAATAAAAAAACGGTGGAAAGAATGGAACAAGGCAGTTAAAAAAAGAGAGAGAGAGAGAGATAAAAGTGGGTGAAGAGAGTTAATGATTTTAAAGAGTCATATATACGGGGTGGGTAGGGAAGAAGAAGAGCGAACGTATGTACAGAGAGAGTGAGGGAGATTATAGGATAATAGACAAAAAAAGTGAGTATATATGATCTGGGAAGAGGGTAGTAGGAAGAGGTAAAGTTAGGACGATAGAAAGGGAAAAGAAGTAGAAGAGATAGTAAAGAAAGAAGGAGAGAGGGTGAAAACTTAGAAAGACCCCGATGATGAAGGGCGGTCGTAGATGTTTCTGCCAACAATTAATTTATTACCAGGGCTAAGATTGTTGTCTCTGTACAATTGTGTTGGCGGTGAGTGTTTAAAGAAAATAAAAAGATGGAGTAAATCAAAAATGGAAGAAAGAAAAAAAGGAGGTTGCTTGTTGATAAAGAAATAGAGACAGGAAGAAACGAAAGAGGAGAGTTGTTAATTAATGTTTTACGGTCTTTTTTTTTTTAATATCTGAGAGAAAAAAACGTTGAGACAATTAGATGGGGTAGAGATAAAAGGATCGGAAAATTATATGGTGTAGAGAGAGATAGAGGAAAGGGTCGGAAAATGAGACGGTGTAGAGAGAGAGATAGAGGAAAGGGTCAGAAAATTAGATGGTATATATATATATATATATATATAGAGAGAGAGAGAGGGGGAAGGATTGGAAAATTAGATAGTCGAGAGAGAGAGAGGAAAGGGTCAGAAAATTAGATGGTGTAGAGAGAGAGAGGAAAGGATCGGAAAATTAGCTGGTGTAGAGAGAGAGAGGAAAGGGTCGGAAAATTAAGTGGTGTAAAGAGAGGGGAAAGGGTTGGAAATTTCGATGGTGTAGATATAGATGAAAAGATCGGAAAATTAGATGGTGTAGAGAGAGAGATATATATATAGAGAGAAAGGGTCGGAAAATTAGATGGTGTAGAGAGAGATAGAGGAAAGGGGTCGGAAAATTAGATAGTGTAGAGAGAGAGAGAGGAAAGGGTCGGAAAATTAGATGGTGTATAGAGAGAGAGAGGAAAGTGTCGGAAAATTAGATGGTGTAGAGAGAGAGAGATAGAGGAAAGTGTCGGAGAATTAGATGGTGTAGAGAGAGAGAGAAAGGGGAAAGGGTTAGAAAATTCGATGGTGTAGAGATAGAAGAAAAGGTTCGGAAAATTAGACGGTGTAGAGAGTGATAGATAGACAAAAAAGGTCGGAAAAATTAGATTGTGTAGAGAGAGAGAGGAAAGGGGTCGGAAAATTAGCTAGTACAGAGATAGATAGATAGATAGAAGAAAGGTTCGGAAAAATTAGACGGTGTAGAGAGAGAGATACAAAAGGGTCGGAAAATTAGATGGTGTAGAGAGAGATAGAGAAAAGTATCAAGAAAATTCGATGGTGTAGAGAAATAGATGAAAGGGTCGGAAAATTAGATGGTGTAGAGAGATAGAGGAAAAGATCGGAAAATTAGATGGTGTAGAGAGAGAGAGAGAAAGGGGAAAGGGTTAGAAAATTCGATGGTGTAGAGAGATAGAAGAAAGGTTCGGAAAATTAGACGGTGTAGAGAGTGATAGATAGACAAAAGGGTCGGAAAATTAGATTGTGTAGAGAGAGAGAGGAAAGGGTCGGAAAATTAGCTAGTACAGAGATAGATAGATAGATAGAAGAAAGGTTCGGAAAATTAGACGGTGTAGAGAGAGATAGACAAAAGGGTCGGAAAATTAGATGGTGTAGAGAGAGAGATAGAGAAAAGTATCGGAAAATTCGATGGTGTAGAGAAATAGATGAAAGGGTCGGAAAATTAGATGGTGTAGAGAGATAGAGGAAAAGATCGGAAAATTAGATGGTGTAGAGAGAGAGAGAGAGAGAGATAGAGGAAAGGGTCGGAAAATTAGATGGTGTAAAGAGAAAGAGGAAAGGGTCGGAAAATTAGATAGTGTAGATAGAGAGAGAGAGAGAGAGAGAGAGATTGAGGAAAGTGTCGGAAAAGTAGACGGTGTAGAGAGAGATAGAGAGATAGATGAAATGTTCGGAAAATTAGACGGTGTAGAGAGAGATCGATAGAGGAAAGTGTCGGAAAATTAGATGGCATAGAGAGAGAGAAGACAGGGTCGGAAAATTACATGGGAGAGAGAGAGGGGGGGTGAGAGAGAGGGGAAAGGGTTGGAAAATTACATGTGGTAGAGAGATAGAAGAAAAGTTTCGGGGAGAATCGGGTGGGGAGTGTAGACATATCTATCGTCATCGTCTCTAAAACCTAAGGCCACCAGTTTGTTGCACCCAGAGAAAATGAATGTCATTTCAGAAGCAATAATCTCTAAGACTAACATGTCGACCATGACTCCATCCAAAGCAAGGGTTTTCTTCTCTTCTCTCTCTCTCTCTCTCTCTGCGTGTTTATGCATATTATTAATCTATCTACATGACTACATATATCCGTATCTTCGGATCTGTCTCTCTCTCTCTCTTTATATCAGTGTTTCGTTATATATGCGTATGGATGAGTCTGTGTATGTATTTGTTTCCACATATTTGTGTGTGTGGATGTAAAAATAAAAATTCAGATAGAACATGAATTGATTAAAGTGTACGCGCGGAAAGATTGATGACATAAATACTCAAATCCCCCCCACTCTCTCTCTCAACGATAGACTTTTTGTGTCGATTAATTTTAATGATCGTCTTTTGCAAATTACGTATTGATTGTTCTACTCATATAAGGAGGAAATACCGTCAAAAATTGTGTGAAGTTCGAATTTCCTTCTTGTCTGAGGAGGATTATTTGTAATTTGGAAAAGTCGATCATTAAAATTAATCGACAGAAAGTGCCTGTTGTTTTTATTAATATTTGCCTTAAAGAACATTTGCTGCCTAAACACAGACACACATACACGTGTTAGTGTGTGTGTGTGTGTATATATATATATATATATATATATATATATATATATATCATTGTATGTAATTATACATTCATATCCATTTCTCACACTCAATTTAAACATTATCAGGGCCGGTGCGTACTACCTACAAACGGGTGGGGTCCAAGCTTGATTTGGAGCTCCGGGCAGTGCTTTGTGTCCCCCGCTATCTTATCAACATTTACTTTTTTCAACCTACATTAATATACATTACAAATTAATTAAACTAGTCGCAACGGACTAAGGATGAAAACTTTTGCTGATTTTGACGTCATTCTGTGATTTTTTTCGTCCAAATTAGTGAATTTGTTTTGCTCATGTCTCGAAAAAAAAACTATTCAATTCACTTATTTTTTTTTTTATAGATAATGTTGAATGTGCTAAAAATTTTCAATTTTTTAACAAGAAAAACCTCAAGTTGACATTAAAAATTGCCGCAATGTTGATTTATGGAATGACGTCACTTGTCTCTAATTCGTATTTAGATACATTGCATTTATCTTCATTTTTTCTAGTTGAATTGTTCATCTATTTTATATGATCCATTATTGTGCAATTACATAATTAGGTTACAATAACTATAACGTTTCTATTTTTTATGTCTACTCAATCAGTTATGTGCTATGCGTGATAACTGACCCGCAGTAGGTTGCCATTTCTTACTGTGGTAGACCATTTGTCATCCAAAGCTATAGAACCCAGTCTGTCCTGCTATTTTTTGTACCTTTCCCAAGGATATTAGCACGTAAGTGGAAGTAATAGAATTCGACTGGAATTCGAACTCGGCTCTCCGATTCCTCAATCCGAGCCGCTATCCATTACTCCACCGCGCCTGCATATGTCTACTATTCTCCTTATAAAAATTGAGATATACTAGAGAGAGAGGGCTACGTCATAGATTCAGGGAGTGTGTGGTAACGAGACCCTTTCAACGACCCAGAACATTAGTGGGCAGTTGGGTTTGAGTTGGCATTTTTTCCATACAAGTGACTGCTGGCGTAGAGATCAAAGGTCATTTTAATTTTAAGATGCTCCCCATTCGAATCTTAAGAAAAGTATATGTCATCTTTGCCATTGTTTTTTAATAAAATATTTATTTTAATCTTTATTCAGTGATAAAAAATGCTGAGGATTTCTGGTGAGACTTATTTTTTTTTTTCTCGTTTTTTTTTTTTTTTTGTATCTCTCTTTTTACTAAGCTTACTTTAGTCGGGTATAAGGCCACGAGAATGGAGCACTCTCTACCAGCTTGCTACCCTTCGCTTTAAGTTGGGCGACTTGTCTCTGTCTAAGCAACCACACACACACACGTGTAAAGGTTCCAGCTGATTTGCGTGGACAACCGGCCAGTGTCACTGTCTCTAGGAGGCAAGAATTTCTTGTAGATACGAGTGACGGATATCTATATATCTACACGCACACACAAACACACGCACGTGTGTGTGTGTGTGTGTGTGTTTGTGTAAAGCTGCAAAATATAATCGATGAACGATGTGGGCAGTGATAAAAGGCGAAGAATTGGGTGGGTGGGGTAAATGAAAGAGAACGAAACTCATGGGAGTGTAACGGACAATAGTGAAAAGAGAAAAACGAAGTAAGTGAGGGTGTCATGAGAAAAAGAAGTGAGAGAAAGAATGGAGGAGGTGCAGAAAAGAAGAAAAATGAACAAAGAGGAAGAGGGGGATAGAAAATGCAAAGAAATGGAGGAGACATTGATTAAAAAAGTAAATGCGAAAAAATATAAAGTTAAAAAAAAAAACCCTGAATAACCAGATATAGGGAAAAGAGAGAAAATATAGAAAGATAGATAGATAGATAGAAAGAAAGAAAGCTGGTATTTGCAGTCTGTCTGGCTGTCTATCTATTCTAATTATACACACGAAACTGAAAAATTCTCGGCCCAACCAAGAAGGGATTCCAGGAACTTTACAACGTTCATGTGTAATACGCGCACACACGTGATATATATATATATATATATATATATATATACACACACACACACATATATATATACACATGCATACACACAGACACACACACACACACACATATATATAATAATAAAAAAATATTAAAAAATTGAAATCTTCACTCTTCAGACACACTGGGTTGTAGATTAATTCTTTCGTTTTTTTTTCATTATTATTTCATTTAGATTTTTCTCTCTCTCTCTCTCTCTCTCTCTCTCTATATATATATATATATATATATATATATATATATATATAGAGAGAGAGAGAGAGAGAGAGAGAGAGAGAGAAGTACACCATGGACTTCCTAAAAAAAAACGGATTTTAGATAATTTAACGTAAAAGATACCTATCTATCTATAAAAAAAGATAGATAGATAGATAGATAAGCAAAAAAAAAAAAGCTAAGTATTCATTCAAAATAAGAGAAAGAAAACAGGAGCAGAAATATTAAATTTTCCCCCCTTTGGTGATTGTACGGGTCGCGTGTGTATGTGTGTGCCAAGAAGTGGGGGTAAGATCCGGAACAATATTTAGCAGATTTGTCTTAGCGATGAATGCTACTATAGTGAGTTCGATCCTCACTGGGTGGCTTCATTTTGTTGCTTTGTGTTAGTTAGAATATGATACTGGTTTTTAAGACAATTAGATCACACCTACCATTGAGCGTGTTCATGTTTCTCATGTACATCAATTGGCTTGTAATATTGTGGGTTTAATACTGAAGAATCTCCCACAAAGTGGCCTTGTGCCAGAGTAAGTTAATTTAACTAAATAACTACCTTGCCGTGTTTAATAAGGTTATTCTTATTGACTGTCATTTTCGATTTCGATTTTAGATTCTCACTGAGTGCCTCACGTATGAAAATTTGTGACTCTGAGATCTCAGCTAAAGCATAATGTTTGCGAATACGAATACATTTCAATTTCATGTAGGTATTACATAAGAAACAGATAAAAAATGGGAAATGAAAATTTACTTCAAGGAGAAGTTGATGGAATGCTGAGGAACGAAAGAAATTGGCGAAGATGAAAGAAAAAAAGAAGCAAGAAGAGATGTTAATTAAATAATTATCTTTCCTCAGCGTTTTTCTCTTTCTCGTACATTAATTTATATATATATATATATATATCCCTCATCGGTAGCACAACTCATTAACTTAACACCAGCACTTATTCTGCGTTAGATAAAACATGCGCACACATACACACACGTATATGTATTTAATACTTCAAACATTTTTTTTTAGTGGATACCCGTATTTAAGTAGACGTTCCGTTTAAACAGTATTCTATTTCGTTGCAAATGCTGACGCAGGTTCGAATACTGCCGGAGGATGCATTTTCTTTAATTAGTTTTTTCGGATGTTCAGACCGGTAGACGAAATAAAATAAATGTTTAAAATAAAGGGAACGTTTTTACTTGAATACAGATTAAAAAAACGGATATCTACTAAATGTTTAAAGTAAAAATGTGGACATAGGAATCAACACTGCATGTTTTAACTGTCATTTTCATATTACTTTGATTTTTTTAGTTTTAGTCTGACTATCTATAATTATAAATAAACGTTCTGTCTCCGTTAGTGAATATTGTGTTACCTCATAAATAAAGCAAATTTTTAAGTAATCCAACTCTAGCTTGATAGAATGTGGACATAAGAACTGTCAGTTTCAAACCTCAGGCGAACTTCAAACCGTATTCCTTCGTCCACACTATGTCGATAAACGCTGTCTCCGTTATTGAGCACTTTTCACCTCTGGGTGCTCCACGTATGGAACCTTGTGCTTTCTTAGCTAAGCTTAAATGTTTGACAACATGAATATGCGAACCATTTGGTATTTATTGCATAAAGGATATAAAATGGGGAAATCATTTTTTTTAATTGGGGTAGAAAAAGCCGGAAGGAATGATGATGATGAATGAAATAAATTGATAAAGATGAAAAGGAAAATAAGCAAGTGACAAAGTTGTAACTTTCCTCCGTGTTTGTCTGTCATACATACATACATACATACATACACTTCTAATTTTCTCCAACGCCAAACGTTTTACACACACACGGAAAAATGTTCGGTGCAGTTGTACGATCAGAATTTTTTTTTCCATTTTCCTTTATTACTTAAGCACTCTAAATTGCCAAATAATTTTTTTATAAAATTTATTGGGTTGGGTGGGGGTTGCTTCGGTTTGTTATGTCTATTCATTGTAAAATAACCAAGACGAAATATTCTCCTCGTACCACGTGATTTCTTCAAATTATTAAAAACATAATTTGAAATTCATAATCTGAAGTAATAATTGTTTCATTGAGAAATTAAGTTATACGAATTAAAAAGCAAAAAAAAAAAAAAATCTTTAAGAAATCATGTTTGAGAAATTTGTTTTGGCTTCCGTAGAGCAATCAGAAACCAAAACAAATTTCTCAAACAAACGACATGATTTCTTAAAAGATGTTTTTTTTTACAATGAATAAATTAACATAGCAAATTCCACTCTCCCTTTATTGACTTTTAGTTTTATAAAATTTATTTTTTTATATTATTCATGATCTAAAGTGCTTATGCAGTAGGAAAAAAATTGAAAAAAAAAATTCTGGTTGTCGTGCCTATTGTTTCAACTTCTCTCAACATTTTTCAATAAACTATATAAAAGTTTGTATCTGTGTAAAAACACACACACGGAAAAACTTAAAAGTATTCAGAAAATAAAAAGTAACTGACATGTTAGGTTACGACAGACTTATTGATAATCTTTCTTAAGCTAGAGAAGTAAAATAAGAAATGAGAAAAAATGTAAAAAGAAATGAAAGAAAAAATGAAAAATAAAGTGAAGTAAATTTTATTTTAACCAACAGCAGTCTGGCACAAGACCACATGTTAGAGAGCCTTAAAAAAAAAAAGATGTTAAAAAAGATTACACTCTACTCTAGGGTATCCCCCAGACGAGGCTCTGCTGAAGGGCAGAGTTTCGTCCCGGGAAACTGACTCCGATTTTTACGTAGTCTATAGGGAATTTTTGCCCGAGCCTACGGGCTCGGATACCCCACTTTAAAACTCGGCCTTGTGCCACATCTTGCTGCGTGGGGCAACGGGTAAATAATTACACTCTGTGAAACTATGTTGATGTTGCTACGGCAAGGGGTTCAGTATTTTACTGAGCTTAGCTTCGTACGGTATAAGGCCAGTAGGGATACCGAGTGTTAAGATCGAACTTTCCCCTCATATGTCTACAATAAATGCAGAAATGCTCTGCTTCGCAAATCATACACAACTCCACAACGAGATGCCTTATTTACTACTATGGTTAGCCAGCCGTCACTCAACACAGAAACGTGGTGTAATGAGTGGGGATCGAACTCACTGATGGCATGCATGTGTAGTTTGCTCACATCACTCCAGCGAGAACTTCGAGACAAAAGTAGAGTCGTTAAAAATGATGTGGATTGATGTGGGTGAGTCTCCGGGGAAGGAGAGGGGAGAAAGAGAAGTAAAGTTCCTGAAGGATGAAAAAAAAAAGAAAAAAAAAAGAAAAAAAAAAGGAGAGCTGTAGTAGGAAAATGGGTGGGCGCGGCTCAGCCTCATTTAAATCATGCAGTAGAGAGAAAAAAAGGAAAGAAAGAAAGAAACGATTAGAAAGATAGATAGCTTTGAATTGTATTATACATGATGGCTAAAACATCGTTGTCGAGCATAATAATCACAAGATTTTTTAGTTCATACATATAGTTCGTCCGTTCATATTTAAGTTTGAGTAGGTAAATAAATAGATATGAACCTGCATATATATAACGAATGATAAAGGAAGGCGGCACAAAATACTACAAGTCGTGGAAGATGTGAAGGGGCGCTGATCAATCAACTTTCCAAAATGACTAAAAACAAAAGTGTTTTTTGTTTTTCAACAAGATTCTTCATCGGTCCTGAACATTACAGCACCCTTAGGTAGATAGAAAATATAGATATTTAGACAGACAGACTGAGATAGGATAGATAGATAGATAGATTATGGATAGACAGACAGACAGACAGACAGACAAACTGAGATAGATAGATAGATTACTTAACATATGGATAGACAGACAGACAGACAAACTGAGATAGATAGATATTTAAACAAACTTAGGTAGATAGATAGATAGATAGATAGATCCTCTAGACTTAAACACGAAATGACTGTCGCACACTCCGAAACGGGATATGAATTCAATAAAATAAAAACAAATGGAAAACTTATCTTAGTCAAGGCGTTTCTTTCAACGCAACGCGTCGGCTAAGTTTTCCTTTTGCCTTTATTAATTATATTATCTTTTTAATCATTTTAAAAAAATTATATATAAATTTTTACACATAGTTTAGTTTAAAAATGTTAAATGGATACAAGCGTTTTTTGCATAGACACACTTTTTTTGTTTGTTTAAAAAAAAAAAACAATACAAAAAAAAAACAGTTGTAATTACATTTATCCGCCGCCTAGACATTCGTGCACATTTTCTTTATTAAGACTCTCGAATACACAGGCCGGTAGATGTAATTCGCCTTCTTTAAAAAAAAAAATAAAGAATATCATGGCATATACTGAAATACGTGATTCCACTATGACGTTTAAAGTAATAATGTCAGATTAAAAATAAAATCCATCAGTTCTTTATAATACATATAGGTAGATTGGACAGGACAGACTGGTTCCTGTAGCATTGGGTGACAACCAGTCTAAGAGAAAAAAAACTGAATTCAAAACCAGGCTGCAGAGGATTGGGTTCCGTCAGGTTATCTTGCCCAGGAAACACCACATCTGCGACAGCTCCAGTACATGCGGTACCCCAACAACCTGGGTTTACGCTGTAAACTACGGGTTTCGTTATCATGATAGAAAGAAAGAAGCCAAATTATTTTAATCAACAGATGGTTATTTACTTTTAACTTTGGTTTAAAATAAATGAAAAATACAAAAATGTTAATAAAATATTTTTGTTAAAAACGCTATTTAAAGAAACGCTTAATTGTTCTACATCACCACCATTGCCGGAAGAGTGTGATTGAGACTGAATAAAAGGAAGAATTTCAAATAATTTTGATTTTCACTATTTATATTATTCGGACTATTGTCCTCATCTTTGTCGCAATATTTATTACAAGGACACATGGCACAGTGGATAAAAGCGTTGGTTAGATCCAGTGGCAGGACCCAAAGAGTGTGAGTTCAATACCTGGTTAAGGCGGCGGAGAACTTGGAGAGGGGAATTAACAGGAGATAACTGACATCCATTAGACATGGCACGTGGAACTAGAACTGTCTACCACTGTGAGCGAAATAAAGGCTTCAATTCGACATTCCAACCACCTGAAGAAGGCCGAAACATTGTGATAAATATGGCGACAAAGATGAGAACAATGGTCCGAATAATGTAAATAGTGTACATAATACCTCATCTCAGAAATATAGAAAGATACTAATTTTGATTTTCTTGTCATGCAATCTGGTGTTTCGTGACTTGAAATATTGCTCTTCCCATTTGGCCCTGTGCCGTACGATGATCAAATTAAAAATTTAAAATATTTTGAATTTTTAAATTGTCCCAAAAAACGGTCAGAACATCTGATTTATTCGTTTTTTACGGCTTATCAACACTTTACAAGTTATTTAAAGCCAGAAAATGTTTTTAGATTGTAAGAATTTTTTGGATTATAATGATTTAATGATACAAATCTTACTAATTAATCCATAGTTGGGGGAAGAAGAAGTGGATTCATACCTTTCCCAAGGGTATTTGCACGTAAATGAATATAACGAACACATCTGGAATTTGAACTCGGCTCCCCCGATTCACAATTTTGAGCCATTTCACCATTCGTACCTTACAAGCTTACAGCACCTGGTATTCCCAGGCAGTCACCTTTCTAGGTACTGATCAGGCTCAACGTTGCTTAACTTCAGCGATCGTACGGGAAACGGTGTTTCAGCGCCATATATCCGTAAGCCAGTCACAAAATAAGTGAATTGATAGGCAGTCCTGTCACCAGATTTTTCTTTTACGTTTTTTGATTTTTTTTTTTTTTTTAATTGAGGGTGCCGCCCTTTATGTTGTCACGAGTAAGAATTTGCACACTAAAATTAGTTCACATCATTTTCCCGGGTGGATCGGGAGGAAGCAAATGATTTATTGGGGAGCCAGACCTCAACTTTGTGACGCCTCTGTTGACAGACGAAAACATACAAAAAAAAAAAAGTAAGAAGAAAAATCAAACAACAAATCATTTGCAAATTCTTGATTAGTCTTAAACAATTCTTCTTTTTATATGCCGTGTCCCTTCAGGACATGGGCGATCATGTCTCTCCACTAATTCCTTTCCTTAGCATTGCTTACTTTTTGTTGTTTTTTTTTTACTATACTTCTCGCTTTCTGATTAGATCCATTTAGTTTGCCCGCTTGTTCCTCTCTGTCTCTTAATATGTCATGTGTGTGTCAAATTTTCCAAGCCTTCCTTCTTCATTATGTGTCCCAGAAATTTCAACTGTCGCTTCCCGATTCTGAATATGTGTCCTTTTTGTTTCAATTTTCCTTGAAATGCCCTCATTGTTCACATGCATCGTCCATGGAATTCTCAGGGTCTTTCTGTAGAACCACTTCTCCACTGTTTCACATCTTCTCTTCATATTGGGGGAAATTGTCCAATATTCATTGCCTTACAAGTGAATTGATATTACATTCCAGACCATTAATTTTTTTGTTGTTGTTTCTAATGAAATTTTATATTTCGTTATACTTTATTGAAGTTTAACTTTTGGAAGGCATCTTCCGCTATTCACATGTGCCTTTGGATTTTGGTTCAACATTTTCCATCGTCTCTTATAAACACCTTTTCTTTTCTTTGCTAATATTCACTCAGTACAAAACCCAAGAGCCACTCAAGCTAGAGTGTTACTGTGTGGAGTTGTATGAGCGTAAGAAATGGCAAGAAGTGACGTTCATGAGACCGTTCAGGAAATATAACGGTTAACCCTAGACTTGAAGAAATCAAGAGTGTTGTGATTGGGAAAACCCCAGAGAATGGACCGACATTAAAATGAACCGGAAACCCAATTCTGAACATGGAACAAGAGATAAACCCCTCCGGACGATAGGCGAATCTAGATACTCCTATTGAAAAAAAACAATATTAGATAAAAAAATTTCAAAGTTTAGGCGAAGATTTTAGAAGTATAGAGTTGAAATAGACTTTAGAAGGAACCGGAAACCCAATCCTAAACAGAGAACAAGGGATAAACCCCTACTGCTCTAAAAACCGGGAGAAGTGTGAACCAGACGATAAGCGAATCTAGCCAAATAGTTAAATTTCTGTACTTGCTTGATTTTGAGATCTCCAAAGTGCAAATGTCAATTTTTATATTTTATACGAGGTAGTTAAACTTTATTAAAAAACAAAAAACAAATAGAAACTGAAGATAAAATTAGATGAAAAACAAACAACTAATAATCCAAAAGTGCAAATTTATTTTTACAGAAAATTAAGAAAATATAAACTTCAAATTTACCAATTTCAGTAAAATAAAATATTGCAAAGTAAGGAATTCTTACGGATCCTACCGTATTTTCGTTCAAAAGGGATTGCCTTTCTGTTTCAAAAATATGAAAAAAAACTCTCTATTGACTTGTGGGGCGTTCAAAGAAAGAAAAAAAGATTCTCTAAAATTAGAAATAGAAACTTATAAAACGCCAAAAATTATTTTTCATGAATACAAAACATTTTATTAAATTCTGTTTCTAATTTGATTTTCGGTAAACCCTTGTATTTTCTCAAATGCAAATTTCTTTTCGTTTTGACACAGCACGGGTAAACAATTTTTCTCGCCTTTTTCGCAGATATATCCAGTTTTGTCATACCTACACGGATAATTTTTCCATCAGAAATTTCACCAATCTTTCTTTAGAACGGCACAACGATTTTGACGATAAAATTAATTTCTACACCTCCACCCCTATCTCATGTGTCGATTTCCTCCTGTAATTTTTGGTTCATTCCAAAAACTAAAAATGTTCCTCATTCATTAGTATTTTTGAAGTTGTGAAAACCGTGTAAAAAATAACTTGATGGTTAAAAAACTGTTACATTTGTTATACTTAGTTTATGATGTAACTTAAGATAATCCTACGGAAATTGCAACAGTTTCAAAAGTTTGTCGCTATTTTTACACAGAAACGCATAGTTGTGTAATCTCTGCTCATGCTAACTGTTTAAAATATTAATTTTAATTGTATGGAAAAGAAGAAAAAAAAAAATAAAACAACAAACAAACACTAACATTAAATTTTTTTAATGAGTCTCATATTGTTAAAACAACTTTTTGTGAATATTAACACCTTTTATATAGTCTATTTAAAATCTATTAAAAACGTTAATAAATTACAGCGTGTTTGGGAGAAAGAGAAAAGGCCACAGGAAATTAAAATATTAAATCAAGGTTTGAAAGTATGTTATCATTTCAACAGTAAATCAAAAAAGCGATTGCCAGTGACAGTGTGAAAAATGTATGTGTACACCAAATAGGTGTGTGAATGCGTCAGAGTTATGTGTGCGTGTACGGCTTCTTGTGCGAACGAAAAAGAAAACAAGCGGGGGAGTGTATTTGCTTAAAGAAAGCAATAATAATAATAATGTTTTAAAATTTTCAAGAGTGTTTGTATGAGGGAAGTGCTGAAAAGTCCTCGTCTCGTCCTATCTCCTAAAAATCTAAAATCAAATCAGTATTTCAGTGACTACCAAACATCACAATAATACCAATTTTAGGAAGTGATTCGAACCGAGAACTTTTCAGCACCTCTTCCCCATCTTCTTCTACTCAATAGTAATAATAATAATAATAATAATTGCATCAATAAGTAAAAATATGTATTTTTGAACTGAAAAGTGGACGAGTGTGTGTTTTTTAATTTTTCTTTTAAATTGGTGTGGGTGAATATCTGAACGACAAAGCGAGCCAAGGAGAGAGAGAGAGAGAGTGTGTGTGTGTGTGTGTGTGTGTGAATAAAGGATGATATCATAGTGTGTGTCTGAACGACAAACTAACAGGAGAAAGAGTGTATATTATATAAAAGAACGTGTGTACGACAGAACGTGTAGGAGTGTGTGTGTGTGTGTGTGTGTGTGTGTGTGTGTGTGTGTGTGTGTGTGTGTGTGTGTGTGTGTGTGTGTGTGCTTGTCAACGAGAAAGAGAGAAATAAAGTAGGCGTATGGTATGTGAATTGAGAATTGATGTATGTGAAAAAAATATCCGTTTTGGTCGAAGCGTCTTCGCACACGCACGTATGTGTAAAGAGAGAGAGAGAGAAGGAAATTCATTGTTCTTGTTCCTGTGATAGCTTTTCGCGTGTGTGCACAAGAAAAGAGAGAGAGAGAGACGACAGATGCGTGTGTGCCTAAAAACTAAAAGAAACATGAAATATAAAAACATGTAACAATGACAAAAAGGTTTGTGTGTTTACAAATGGAGGTGTGTACATGTGTGTGTGTGTGTGTGTGTGTGTGTGTGTGAGAGAGAGAGAGGTACTAAATAAAAGATCGTCTTGTTCTCTACGGCAAATAACTAGAGAAACCTTTTTGTATCTGAAAACAAATGTATTTTTTTTTATCTTTAAAGAGAAAAAGTAAAACCTAACATATGTACCGTAATGTGCCGCACCCATGTGTACTTGTGTGTGTATTTATGTGTGTGCGTGTGTGTCTACATATGCATCTTGCAAACAAGTACTAATGGTTAGGATGCAAAAGAGAGTGTTTATATTTGTTTTGATTCGCTTTTTAAGTTTCATCACAGAAACACAGGCAGGGAAAGATATAGGGTAGAGAGAGAGACAGTTAATTTAAACCAGAAAGAAAGAAGGACTTTTTAAAAACAAATAAAAAAGATAAACTGCGTATCTAACATAAAGAATTCTTAACACATCGAAGATAGTTTGTCATCACATTTTCTTTTTAGTTTCCAATGTTCAATATATTCAACAGGTTTATTAAAGAAAGAGAGAAAGTGAAAGAAATTATTCTTTCTACCTCATTCGTTTATTGGAAATTCACTTTTTCTGTCTACCTCCTTAAATTTTCTCTTCATCTCTGACTTTTTCCCTCTCTATCCCATGAAACTCGGGCATGGATTTGGAACGTATACTTGGAATGGAGTTATGTAACAGATCCTCATTTCAGAAATTATTTTAAAGTTTAACTTAAATAAATTAAAAGACAAACAAAAACAATGGCGTGAAGTTCAGAAGAAAATTGTATAATTTTTATGTGAAGTTCGAATATCCATCTTCATCTCTCTTCCACTAATTCTCTCTCTCTGTTTCTCTATCTCAATCTGTTCATATCTGCCTATCTATCTATCTATCTATCTATCTATCTATCTATCTATCTATCTATCTATCTATTTATCTTAGTCTGCTCATGTCTCTGTATCTGTCTAGCGATCGATCTAAGTCTGTTCATGTCTGTCTATCTCTACCTGAGGGTGCTGAAAAGTTTGGGGACCGATGACGAGTCCTGTCGAAAAACATTTTTCTTCCGTCATTTTGCAAATTAGAGGACAGTCTATCGTCACGACTTGTATTTTATGCCACCTCTTTGTCTCGTCCTCTATCTATCTATCTATCTATCTATCTATCTATCTATCTATCTATCTATCTATGAGAATAATAAAAGTCACCGGCTCGATCAAGAAGGCCCTCACACTAAAAAAATAATTCGGGGATGTGAATCAGGCCGATAACTTTTCAGCACCTCCAGATCGATAGATAAACATTTATGTACTTTTATAGACGAGATAGTGCTTAAATGTGCTCGATTCAACCCACATCGCAAAATATGAAGAAATGACCAAATTCTTTTTTTAAGGACTTTTCTTTTCAACACACACGCATATATATATATTGCTAATCACTTTTTTTTTTTTAACCATTTGAGGAAGTATTTCTCTTTTGTCTCTTGACAGTGAAGGAAACCATGAAAACTTCTGTTCTACATTTACACTAATCGTCAGCCAGTTTCATTACCAATTATTACACCCGATTTTTTTTTTATCTTAACTCAAAACTTTTTACGGAATTTTATTGTTTTTTCTCGATAGTACCAATATAGATTTTTATGTGTCCCAGAGCTTTTAGAATAGATTCATTCATATGTTCCTGTTCATACACTTTTAGTTTGTTGTGTATGTGTCTTGAGTCTGTTGTACACATTTATATTGTTTCTTTTCCTTATAAATGCGTGTGTATAATACGCATTGGTAGATTCTTCTTCTTGTTTTGTAACAAAAATAATCATAAAGTCTCCTAAAGAAAGAAAGGATGCAAAAAAAGACAGTGAAGGTTTTTTTTTTATTTGATAGAGGCTATCTATTATTGATATTTACGTATTACATTGGTTTAGGAAAATAATGATAATATTCATAAGCAACATAATGTACAAGTGTACACAGTGTTTATATATATCAATTATTAAATAAAAATGTTATTAACAATTGTAGCGATTGTTAACAAGGGCACGGTGATATATCAAAACCTTGGTTAAAGTTGGTAAAATTTGTATTGAGACGTTTCTTAATAGATAACCCCGCGAAAATGAAGTGGAAAAACCTTTTAAAAGGCAACAAATTGCGCAGCATTTTTTAAAAGGTTTCTTTTCCTTTCAATATCACATACGCAGTATAAATGAACATGGCATCTTGTGTGGCGAAAAATACAAAATTATTTTTTTTCATTAAAATCTACTCACTAATAACTGCCTATAATAATTCGAATTTTAACATTAATCTTTTTTTAATAAACTCATGGGGGATCGACTTATACGCAAATACTTTCATTCGTTCTTGATTAGAAATATGAGCAACTTTTAACTTCAAACATAAAAAATATTCCCCAATTAAAAAACAATAATACATTCTTACATTAAAAACGCAACAAATTACTTAACCGCGTTACTTTGAACGATTACTTCGCTACTTATAATCGCTGCTCTGTAGAACCGACTCCCAAGAGGATGCTTCCCTGATCACTACAATCTTAAATTGTTCAAGCCTACTGTTAAGCGTTATCTTCTTCACATATCTGCATAGACTGTGCCTATTACTCTACTCTGTAACACTCTACCTCGAGTAGCTCTTGGGCCTTGTACAGGGTGAATGTCATTGTAAAAACAGTCTCAACTGACAATAATATAAGTAACGGATGGCTATAAAAAGGAACAGATTATTTATGGCTAATCTTTTTAAATAATACATACACAAGCTTGTTTGCTTCACGTGGAGTTAATTGTAAGTCAAATCATGCACTCAAATACGTAACCAAGTAATCGTTTTAAGTTTTCTGAAAATCGGTGCCTTTTTAACACTATTTTCATTTTGTTTTTACTTTTTCGTTTTCTATGTAGCAAATGGAAGCCCTTTAAATTTTGCTAGAAAAAAATAAAAATGGGATGTCTTTTTTCTTATTTTAAATTGATATCAGTCCGTATGACGACCCATAACTACCATAATTTAATTATAATGCAATTAAATAAACTCGAGAATGAGAAGTGCTCCGAAAGTAATGGCTCATACGTATTTCGACGGAAAATATATATATAGTGCGCGCACACATACATATATATATATATATATATATATATATATAGTACAGGGAGAATATCGTTGGTGAGAACAAGTTTTCTGCTATAAAACAGAATTTTACTCCACATTGACACCGCAAACTGTGCCGTACATTTTTGCTGGCGATTAATGAGAGCCTGAACGTCACGATCGGAAAATTCTTCATATGCGGATGACGTTTCATTTTTTTTTTTTTTTTTTTTTTTCGCGTATCTCCGTCACCACTGCAGAAACGCCTTATCTGGCGCCTAACTGGGCTCACATGCACGTTATCGTCTCCGGAAACGTTCAGGAAGCGTTGATTAACGTCAGTGGGTGCATTTTTTTTCTGCGTGGTGGGATTCAGTAACACGGTATGCTTCGACAGCACTTTCATATCATACGCCATTCTACCAGATTACCGCTTTTTATATTGGCGCGAAGGTTCATTTTCTGTTGCCATTCCCACTAATATACGCCTCTGAAGTCGTGGGTAGACTAATAAGACACGTGGCATTACTTTGGGAGCGATTCTCAGTTATTGTGCTAGCACACACACACACACACACACACATACATGTAAATAAATATGCCTATACTTACCGGCTTTATAAATATTATTATTGGCTTCATATATATATATATATATATTTATTTATTTCTGTAGTTCACTGCTACTAGCAAGCAGAAATATTTCTTCTCCTGATGATGGCCATGTTGGCCGAAACTAGTCAAGGAATCTAAATGAAATAATAATAGTAAAAACGAAAGAATATTAATCTACAAACCAGTGTGTCTGAAGATTTTAATTTTTTAATATTTTTTATTGTTCAATATATATATATATATATATATATATATGAAAAAAACCTAGTGAACCAGGATCTACCTACCAAGGTTTCACCTAACGGATCTTCAGGGTACAATTGGTCAGTTATACCCTGAAGATCCGTAAGGTGAAACTTTTGGTAGGTAAATCCTAGGTCATTAAATTTTTTTAATAATTTGCTCTACTTAGTGTATTGAGCCCTTTTACGTTTTTCTTAATTCACTTGAGTGGTGTTTTTTTTTTCTTTTGGTTAGGCATTGCGGTGTTGAGTAATTTTTTCCAACCAACATGGATGCTTTTAGTCTTTTCATTTTTAATTATTTTTTTTCCTGATACCTGTTTGTTTAAATATATTTTTATTTGTAAATTGTACTATCCGTTTTTTTTTTTTGTTTTTGTTTTTTTTCACACCAGTCTAGTATAGGTATTAAAATAGTGTATATATCTATAAGAACAATGCTCGGAAAATTAATGACAGAGGGGAAAAGATAAAATTTTGCTCACTGTATTGAGTCTGACTATAATTTCAGTTTAAAAGAATGCTACTTTAATTAAAAGAGAAAGCAATTTACTAAGACGAAAGTATATAGAAAGTGCTTTAATCGCTAGATCATCCACAGTAAATTTGCGGCCAGATTCTTACAACCTCTCACCTTTCTTGGCAGCTTTTCTAGTATCAGAACGCGGTAACAAAAAGTTATAAAAATATAAGCAAAAAGAAACGAAATTGGCTGGACGATATATTCAAATACATATTTAAAAAGAAAAATTAAATTTAAACGTTTTAAATTTCAGCGTCCCTTCTTCATACGCATGTGTAATTACATCCGATGACCGCTTAAAGAACGAAACGCGTCATACGAAAAACTTTTACACTGTCATTAATTTTATTTTTCATTTATGTATGTATATGTCTATTCAAACATTGCAATTATTTTTTAAACAAAATCAAAAACGAGATGTCTACTTAAACATGTGTATTCACTACGTGTAA